ATATATATACCTATATATACTTACATACATTTATAAACACATATATTCATCTATATATAGGTATATATATATATGTGCTTCATGACTACATTTCACATACTTAGTGATGTCTTAAACACAGTCCAATTATAGTCATCTATTTGGGGTACTTTTATTTTTTTCCCTTTGTTTCTCCTTCCCATCCCTTCTCATCTCCCACCCTGCCCCCTCAACCACCACCCAGCCAAAGTTGTAAAGTTCATTTTTCGACATAATGATTGTACGTCTCATTGTTGCAATGGGTCCATATAGCAATGGACTAGTTTAGAAAAAAAACAGTAAATTTGCTGTATATATCAGTAAAAGTAGGACAAATATCTGAACTTCGTCAAACGGATCTATACTATAAGTATAAATTTATTAGTTATCGGGCTATCTGGACACAAAATACATCAGACTGATAGAAATTTAAAGATGAAAGTTATCAAAATTTGTGAGGATATAGAACAACTGAAGTTCTCTGAAAGGGAAAGTAAATTAGAAAAACAACTGATATTCAGATATGTCTCAAATGGTAGAGTGCTTGCCTATCAAGGGGAAGGCCCTAAGTTCAGTCCTCTGAAGAAAGAAAAAACATTAATAGAATTGGCTTAGAACTAAGTATTGCCCAATGAACCAGTAACCCCACTTTTGTGTATATGTTTAACTTCTTAATATGAGTAATAGTTACATGAATATATTAATTTTTAAAACTATATATCTGTTTTCATACTTGTAATTTCTCAGCTTTCTATTTGTTATAACTCACTCAGAAACTTATCTTAAAAATGGACCCAACAATAAAACGATAGAATTTTGTGTTTTATCATGATACAGATAAATGTAATCTGAAGCAGTAGGCTTGTCTACCAAAGGGAAGGTATCTAGATGCCCAGGGTATCTAGAAAAGCTGGAGGGGGGGCGGGGGGGGGACAGTTTAGAGTAATTTGTTTTCTCCTGAGGGCAAACACAATTTAGTGGCTTCTGAGTGACAACTACTCTATTTCATCCTTGTGATGTGAAGGTTCTACTTGTGACCTCCATAAATAAACTCAACAATTAATCTTCATCCTTTGACAAATGGACACTTGTTTCTAGAGTTTCATTGACAAGGTTCAGAAGTTTAAATGCTCTTTTTTTTTCTATAAATTATGCCATGAAGGTAACTCTAATTTTAAATAAAATTAACTTAGATTAAAAAACTATTCCTGTCTTTAATATGGCAAGGATTCCATATGAGAGATATAACATGATATAAATACCTTCATACTAATTATATTTTTGTGTGTGTACTTTGGAAAGTCATGTGTTAAAGTAATTTGAATTGGGCATTAGATGTTTCATCACTATAAAATGTAAAATGTTCAGTGCCATTAAATAGTGATGTGATACAAACAAAATAATCATGCTAAGCACATAGAACTTATTAACAAATCAACAAAGCAGTATTAGATCACCAGCTGTTTCCCTTTTTAAAGTAAAAATGGCAATGAAAAAGCAAATATAACAATAATCAAGGTTTATAACAATCCATAATGTGCAGCTTGGGTTTAGAGGAAGCCCTCATATATTTCTGGCCGAAATGTGAATTGCCACAACCTATTGGGAAAGTAATTCTGGCAATAAATGTTAAAATGTAAAAGATATCAACTTATCTGACCTTGATATCTTTTACATTTTAACATTTAGGTTGATGTTAGGGAAATGAACCCTAAGATAAATATTCAAATGTTTTTTTTCTTTCATGCGATTGTTTCTAACATATTTATAAGATTATTTCTTTGTTGCTTTGTATGTCCCTCCCCCACGGTATAACCCCTGCTTTCACTGTATTTGATGTTGGTATAATTTGTGGAGGGGAAGGGCAAAAACAAATTGTTTAAATAGGGATACAGGTGGACCCATTGCAACAATGAGATGTACAAGTCATTATGTCGAAAAAGAACTTTACAACTTTGGTGAAGGGGGGAAGGGAGAGGTGGATTCGGTGGGGGGGAGGGGGGAGGATGGGAAGGGATGGGAAGGGGAAACAAAAGAGGAGGCTACAATGCTTGATAAGAAATGTTCTCATTATCTTGCCCATGTAATTGTAAGCCCCTGTACAGTATTTTCACAATAAAAAAAAATGTAAAAGATAAGCACTCTTTGACTAAAAAACAACTTTAGGTAGCCCGGCTCAGGTGGCTCACACCTGTAATCTTAGCTACCCATGAGGCTCAGATCTGAGGATCACAGTTCAAAGCCAGCATGGGCAGGAAAGTCCATGAGACTCTTATCTCCAATTCACCATCAGAAAACTGGGAGTGGTGCTGTGGCTCAAGTGGTAGAGTGCTAGCCTTGAGCTGAAGAGCTGAGGGACAGCACCCAAGCCCTGAGTTCAAACCTCATGACCGACAGAAAAACAACAACAACAACAACTTAAGGACTTATTACAAAAGAGCTCCTGTACCTAAGCATGTACACAAGTGAAAAAAGTCTCTGGAGAATGAGTCACTAATTCAGGAGGGGTGCTCAGACCATGAACTATTATATATCCATCAAAGGATGTGCTCGGGTTGATTGACATACCAAATCCCTTTGTACAATTAAAATACACTAAAAGAAAATGAGAGGAAAGTAAAATAGGCTCTGTTGGGAAACAGATACCTCCAAGAGTGATGAGGGGCAATGGATAGACATCTTTAAGAAAATAGAAAATCCAAGCCTGTTGAGATTATTGTAAGGAGTGAGGATGTGTGGTGGAGAGAGAGAATTTGGTAGAATGTGTTGCATATATGCATAGAAGTGTCTCAATGAAACCCCTTTGTACAGATGTAAGTTATAAAAATGTAAAAAAAAGTTGCATCAACACATTGGAATTAGTCAAATGAAAACTAATCTCATGAGTCTTTTTGTTCTTTTTTTTGGCACATGTGAATTTTGTTTTATATAAATGAAAACTTTCTTGGTCTCTGATTATGGGTTTGAAATGAAAAGAGCATCTGCTTTGGGTGTGGGCGTGAGCAACCAGGATTATGTTGGGACTAATGTATATTAGTTACTTCTACAATTTCTTGTGGATCTTTGCAAAGGGGATACTATAAACAATAAGTTTTATATAATTAATTTAAATACATTACATGTTTTCATGTTTGGACAATTTTTCAACCTTGAATGAAAATACACTTTCACCTTAGGGATAAAAAAGACTAGCTACAGGAAAAAAAATAATGATATTGCTCATAATATATAATTATTTGATAGACACCACTCCATTTTATTTGAATAGACTCATTCAGTCCTTGTAAGGACAACATGATACAGGAACCATTGTCATTTCTGCTTATGAATGATACAGTTAAAGTATAAACAGGACATTCTGCCTTTCCAAGAGCTGGTGTGTTGTGAGGTCTGAATTTGAATCTGCCTGTATTACTCTAGAATGCTTGCATACTCTATGTTATTATTCTACCTTCCTGAATTAATTAAGAAGAGATTTCTCTTGCATGTTGTTATTTGAATAAGTTAATACTGGAAATTATTCTGTTTACAAAAGAAAAACAAGAACCACATGCAAAAGTCCTACCAGGCTGGAAACATGGATTACATTAGGGTTGAGCAAAGAAGGGAGATGTTACTAACTTTTTATGTACTTGCCACTGTATTGCCTGAAGTTCCAGAAAGCACTATTTGTTTGGCCATTTTAATTTGAAGAAAAAGTTACCAAAAACATCTTCCACATGAAGGTTCATTATGCTTTCTTAGGAATAAAAGGAATGGATGGTTCATTTATTAAGTAGCTAAGAAATTAATAAAACTTGTCCTGTAACTTTCAGCCCCAAAAGGAGTTAATTTACTGTGGTCATTTTACATGGCATCTGTGCATTCATTAATAAAAGTATCTGGATCAGCATGAAGTGGATCCCCGGGAAACATTCCTTTCCTGTTCATCATTTTTGTTCCATCTCTATGGATTTTCCTCCATTTAAACCAATGTTAAGACCACAGGAGCAATCCTTATTTTCTAAATTTTAGCCTGCTCAGGATAAATGTGGATGCACCAGTGCTTGCCCCTTGGTCATGACAACTCAGGATCTTTTTCAGATACAGAAATCTTGACACATAATTTATTGATGCTTTTTCTGTGACTGTGGGCAGACTCAAAAGGAAGGTGACACAGACCAAAATGTCAACTGGCCATTCTGTAAAGGAAAGCAATAGTTTAAACAGAGCCAAAAGCCCCATGCCCCATGCTTAGAAGCATGTGTGAAGATTACATATAGACCATGTTTTAGAAGTATTAATATTTTATAGAATATCAAATGGCATATGGGACTTTTTTTTTTTTTCGGTAGTGGGGCTTGAACTCTGGGCTTGGGCCCTGTCCCTCAGCTCTTCAGCTCAAGGCGATCACTCTTAACACTTGAGCCACAATGCCACTTCCGGTTTTCTAGTGGTTTATTGGAGATAAGAGTCTCACAGACTTTCCTGCCTGGGCTGGCTTTGAACCATGATCCTCAGATCTCAGCCTCCTGAGTAGCTAGGATTACAGGCGTGAGCCACTGGTGCCCGGCTGCATATGGGACATTTTAGCAGTATAGAGTTATCAAGCTTTGTTTCTTACTTTAGGCACAAAAATTAACTGTATTTGATTTAAAATACTTATATGATATGGTCTCTAGCGCTACACCTAGAGTCCTAACTACTTAGGAGACTGAGATTGGAGGATCACGGTTCAAAGCCAGCCCAATCAGACAAATTCTTAGGACTCTTTTCTTCAGTTAACCAGCAAAAGCTGAAAGTGGATAGTTCAAGTGGTAGAGCACCAGCATGAGTGAAAAAGCTGAGCAAGAATACCAGGCCTTGAGTTCAAGCCCTGGTATTGGCACACACAGACACACAAAAATATTATATAAAAGTTGTAGTTGGTATTTTAAGAATTTTACATCAGTCAATAGTTTGAGACAACATTTCACAAATGTTTATGTGCTTTATTCCCCCAGGTTCCATTTGATGTCTCCCTGCCTGCTATATTCAATCTTGAGAGACTTTTTGATCTTGCTACTGGTTGTATTGTAACAGGAGGAAGCCTTTACAACTGGATAGTGTCACTTATTTCTCGAATAGCTTAATTTCATTTACATGGTAACCTTGTGAGAAATTTAATTATTATTGTTTTCCTAGTTTCAAGTAAATTTCTGGAACTTTCCCCTCATAACCATCAAAATAAAATTCTTTTCTCATAAGCTAAAGTTCTCTAAAACTATTGTTTCAAGAAATATTTTAATTTGTGTTTGAATCAAATGACAGTGTTATTGCTTATTAAAGCAATTTACAGAGCTGCGAACAGAAAAGATGATGGTGAACAGTGCTGCCCTTTCAAATCTGTGTTAGTGTATATAGGATTGCCTGTAGATGTGTCTGTGTGGCAGGACTGAATTAAACTAGTGGTTCTCAATTGTGGGCAGTGTTCCCCTTAGATGTTATGTGACAGCGTTTAGGCACATTTTTGAATGTTGTAATTGTGGGGACAGCACTAGTAGCATCTGGTGAGAGGCCATAGGTACCGTTAAATGTCTACAGTATACAAGATAAACCCTGCAGCAAACAGCTGTGTACAGTCCAAAATGTCAACAGTGTCATGTTGAGAATCCCTGGAGCAAACTTCAACTTGTGGTAATTCCAACTCTGGAAGTTGCCTATTCAGCTTGTAGCAAATGAGGTCTTCCATATTTCGTACATCTGAGAGGCACCATTGTACAAAATTTTATTGCACTGGCCTGTAAATCGCATGGACCTGGGTGTGGATAGTAACTTCACCACTTGCTAGCTCTGTTTCCTTAAAGAACTGACTTAAATTCTTCAGCTTGTATTTCCTTGTCTATGGAGGAAATTTACTCTATGACTTGAATGAATTGGTACAGTTAGGTACTTCACAGGAGGCCTGATGTAGTAAGAGAGGCTGAGACCACCACTAATGGCCTCCCTTGTTGAGGGCCACGCACTTCTCACTGTCCTTCTCTAACCGCTCTAGCAGCCAGATGTGAATGCTTCCCACATGCTGCCCATGGATTTTTTTTAATGAGGTAAATGTGTTTTTCTAACCATTATTCTCAGATTATGAATTTCCTATTGATATTTTTATAAGCCTTTTTAAAAATAAACAATAGTAATGGTAGGTACTGGCATTTATTCTCACTTGATAATATGAAGGGGAAAACGAGAAACCTTATGTTGGAACCCAATACTATAAATGTAGACATCACAAAATCCAAAAGTCTAAGAACAGGTGAAATAGAGTTGTCCTCTACACAGGAAATAAGTCTTTTTTTTTTTTTTTTTTTTTTTTTGCTGGTCATAGGGCCTGAACTCTGGGCCTGGTGCTGTCCCTCAGCTCTTCAGCTCAAGGCTAGCGCTCTACCACTGAAGCCACAGCACCACTTCCAGCTTTTTCTGCTTATGTGGTACTGAGGAATGGAACCCAGGGCCTCATACATGCAAGGCAAGCACTCTACTGCTGAGCCACCTTCCCTGCCCCCAGGAAATAAGCCTTTAGCAAGACATTCTTTAAGGATAAGAATCATTTTGGTGGTCAAAACTTTGTTATAAAAATATCTATTGAGGCCAGATATGTCAGGTACGTCAAAAGGAAGCTACTCAGAAGGAAGAGATCAGAAGGATCAAGGTTTGTGACATCCAGGTAAAAAGTTATTGAGACACACCATCTCAACAAGCAAGCGGGAATGGTAGCATATATCTATGATCCCTGTTACACAGGAAGGAAGCAAAATAACATTCAAGTGGTAAAATGCGGGGCTGGGAAGGTGGCTTAGTGGTAGAGAGCTTGCCTTGCATCCTGAGGCCCTGGGTTCAATTCCTCAGCACCACATAAGAAAAAAAAAGCCAGAAGTGGCACTGTGGCTCAAGTGGTAGAGCGCTAGCCTTGAGCTGAAGAGCTGAGGGACAGTGCCCAGGTCCAGAGTTCAGGCCCCACAACTGGACCCCCCCCCAAAAAAAAGTGGTAAAATGCTTGCTTCCCAAGTATGAGAATCTTGAGTTCAAACTCCAGTATTGGAAAAAAAAGATTTTTAGAATCACAGCCAGACCTGGTAGTGTACACCTGTAATTCTAGCACTTGGGAGGCTGAGACAGGATGCTCGTGAGTTTGAGACCACCTGGGCTACATATTAAGACCTTTCTTCAAAAACAATTTTTGTTAACTGGAAGCAGGAAAACAGAGGTATAAATATGAACATGCATAGGGTGTATGGTTAAAGTACTTCCCTACTATATACAGACAATGTGAACAGGTAGAATAGAAAATGAGATTTTGTGTAAAGAGGAACTACAGTGAAGACTTGGACTGAATCAACAGATGATAGGGTACAGTAAAATGTGATTAAGGAGAGAAGAGACATGTTCCTGTCTTGGTAGACAGTCAATAAATAGTAGGTAAGTAAATGCAATGAGCAGAATGAACAATGCCCTGGTCTTCAGGAAGATAAGCATACAAGATATGCTGGAAGAGAAATAAAGGTAAGAAGACTTACGAAAGCATAGGTCACAATGGGAGACAAAAGAATGGAACATTTACTGGTGACTTTGGGAAAAGAAGTCCTTTCTGATTGACTATAACCCTTATATGAAATTTGGTTCAAACACAAAGTCATTTGGATAGTGATAGCCTTGATACAGTAAAACTTTCCAAGGCCTTTTGCCTATGAGTAAGATTTGCAAATGTCTCTGCTAAGATAGTGATTTGAAAGGCTTGTATTTCCTAATAGAGAAAGTTTAATTAATAACAGGCTTGGCTTTGTATATACACTTACCACAGCTCTGGAAGTATAACATGACTAAAAACCAATGCCATACACTTCAGCCTAATGAATATGATAGTTTCCCAAGATTGTATATGTCCACCTTCCATTCTTCCCTGTTAACTCCTGTTAAGTGTTTATTAGTTGCATTTTTTATTTTGAACATCAGTAAATATATTGTTTTGTAGAATGCTATGACAATGCCTAGCACAGAGTAGATAATATTTATGGAATGGATAGATGGAGAGAGGAATGAGTGTGACCCAGGCATTACAGCCCATGAAAAAAGGCAAAGATATCATTAATTCCTCCACTGTCGTTACTACTGTCATTATTGTCGGCCCTTTCTGGAGCATCTACTGTTGTAAAGGATGGTATGAATCATTACGTGATAGGCATTATTGCCCTGTGTCCTCCTCAGACTTCTGGCTACGGTGCACACAGTATTATCGACTTCAGTAGTGGACACAGCTCATAAAACAAGCACATGTAATTAGCTCAGTGAACACAGAGGCAGAGCCAGAATTTGAATCCTGTTTGGGGAATCTGTATTTCTCATTGTTAAGTCTGCTTCTCCTGCCCTTGTAACCTCATCTACAATGCTGAGAGATGTTTAAGTGAAGGGAAAATAAAAATTAAAAATTACCTACATCTCAAGCTGAGATGCCTATCATCTACTCTTGGAATTGATTTGTTAAAATGGCTTGCAGACCAGAACATAGAACACAAGAAATCATGATGATGAGAGGCAGTGTTGTATATATATGCTGGTATATTCGTTTCCTCTGGAGAAAGTAGATTCCTTCCAATTATTATAGATAATTGTGTGTGTGTGTGTGTGTGTGTGCGTGTGTGCATGTGCATGCGCACATGCAGGTCCTTGGGCTTGGACTCAGGGCCTGGTTGCTATCCCTGAGCTTCTTTTGCTCAGGGCTAGCACTCTACCACTTGAGCCATAGCTCCATCTTGGGCTTTTAGTGGTTAATTGGAGTCTCATGGACTTACCTGTCTGTGCTGGCTTTGAATTAGGAGTCTCAGATCTCAGCCTCCTGAGTAGCTAGGATTACAAGCATGATCTGCTTGTACATTTTAAAACCTTTTTCTCCATTTATAGTTCTTTACAGATGCTGCTATTCTTGGTGTTATTTTGCCTGAGAAAAACACTGAGACTGCCCCACACCTGCAATCACAATTTCCTCATTTTAAACCATGTTCTAGAAATTCTCCTTCTTTTCTAAAATAGCACTAGTTAAAGAAGGAACTTTCTGTGCAAGGCATTGTGGAAATGATGATGAACTGGGCTGCAGCAAAAGCAAAACAAAAATCCAAAATCTACCAGGATGAGTGATGTGTTTATTTCCAGAAATGTCTATTCAGGTTATTTTTTAAGAACAAATTAAAAATCTGCAGCTGCTGTTTATTTGTTTATTTGTTTGCATAATATAGTATCTGCAAATGCTTTATTACAGATGCCTGTAGTGTTTCTGTTTGTGTTAATTATAACAGAATGACAGGAGGGAAACAAGGGGGCAAAAAGGGGGGAAAGGGGAGGAGAGAGGATGACAGGGAAGAAGAGCCTCTGACCCTCGCTAAGTGATAAGTAATGAAACCCGTCTGTTTCCCAGATCTTGCTTTTTATTAATCTCCAAGATATTGCTACAGAAATTGACCATCTGCCAGCTACTCAGAGGCTTAAATGCAGCGGTCTTAGTTCATTTCATGTGGGTGGGGGCAGTTCACACACGCCTCAGCCCAGGTCACTTGATCTCCTTCACTGAAGTGGAGCTGGGAAATAATACTTTTCAGGAGAGCAGTAGAAAGGTGGTTTCTGCCTGCCTCCCTCTCTTCCTCCCTCCCTCCCTCCCTCTCTCCTTTCCCTTCCCTCCTTCCCTTCCTTCCTTCTTGACAACATCATGCAAACTCCCCATTCCCGTTCAAATGACTAGGCTCCCTGAACTCCTAGAGCTCTTCAGGGTGCCCTGCTCACTTGGCTTCTAATGGTACCCTCTGCCACATAGCCTTATGTGAGATTTTTACAGAACTGTCTTCTAACCTTAGCTCGAGACTGTCACAGTGTGTGAGCCTGCCCCACATTCTTTGGGTTTATTTCAATTGGTGACTTGGTGTCTCATGTTTCTAAACCATATTTTGGAATTTAGAGTGTCCATTAGAGCTGGAGAACTTAAGTCAAATATGCATAATTCCGTCAAAGATACACTAACATATATACAAATTTATACAATTTACATACAATATGTAAAATATACAATATATTAATAGATTAACATTTATAATCAATATTGTCTGTATGGGCATAGATGTGGACATATCCCCAAATGTGGG